GCAATTTAGAACTGAGGAGAAATTTCCTGACAGTTAGAACAATTAATCAGTGGAACAGCTTGCCTCCAGAAGTTGTGAATGCCCCAACACTGGAAACCTTTAAGAAGATGTTGGATAGTCATCTGTCTGAAATGGTATAGGGTTTCCTGCCTAGGCAGAGGGTTGGACTAGAAGACTTCAAAGGTCCCTTCCAACTCTGCTATTGTATTATATAAAGGCATTTGCAAAACACATTTGTATTATTATTAGTGTCTACAGAGTTGTCATGGGTGGTTTTATTTTATATCACTGAAGCCAGAACCATTTGTTATTTTTTCTTTCTTTAGGGCATTAATGTTATGGCTATAGAAGACAATTGGATGGAATGGATAGCTGAAATTGAAGGCCTGAAGGATACCTTATGGGAAGGTGCTACTCTTTCCTAGAAATGTTATAATGTACATTGGTATTGCACTCTCTAAACAACATGGATGATTTATTATTATTTGCCATTTGTAGCCTTTTGATAAATGCCTTATAAAATATATTGATTGAAAAAATCAAGGCCAGGCACTTAGAAACTGCAAAACATTCTGAAAAAGCTTTTGAGAAATCAAAATTCTTTAAGAAGTAAATTGTGACAAAAATCAAAAAGGCTAATCCTGTGCAAAAAGCACTAATTGAAGTTATAGGATAGAGTACTTAAATAATAAGAAAACTGAACTATCAAATATTTAAGGTGGAAGTAGCATAAATAAAAACAAAAACATAAGGTTTTATGGCCTTATGGGTACTATAATGCATCCTCTGTTTGCCCCACAATATATTTAAGTAGATTAAATTTATGTAAGACTTCAATCTATGCCCTTTACTGTTAAAGAAAAGTCTATTCACTTCCAACAAATCCACATTATTTTAGGCTGTATATATCTTTCTATAATCAAGGATGGACAATTTTCATTTGAAGAACCACCATTCTCTAATGCAGTATTTCTCTACCTCAGCAATTCTAAGGTAGAATTCTGGGAGTTGAAGTCCACAGATCTTAAAGTTGTTGAGGCTGACAAACACTGTTGTAATGAGTAAGTGCCATTTAGTAGATAGGTGAAGCAAATGATCAATGAATTCAGAGCCAAATGTAGGTGCCCAACTCTTACCTTTCACTTGCACATCATATTTTTAATGTCCTTTCCCCCTTACAAGATATGCTAGCAGTCACTTTTTCTAAAGTCCAAATGGATTGTTACCAGAGGCTTTTGAGATTCACCTGAGAGTCATGTAAAATTAAGTCAAAGACCACTTGCGGGTTCATACAATAAATACATATATATATATATATATATTTATCTACATTATACTAGGTGCTGAACTTCAGCTGTCGCTGAAATATTCTGAAGACTACAATTCCATGCCTCCAACCATCACATTCACCACTATTCCTTTCCATCCCAATGGTAAGGATGTTATTAAGGACAGTGTCCTTCATATGGTAACTGATCAAAAGCAACTTGTTGCTTCACGTAAGGGTTGTTTTCCAGAGTAATATAACAGCTACATATAATAATGCTTAGTCGTTTATATAGTGTTTTCATGATTTTGATTTTATCTGCTTCGGTGTAAAAGCACTATATCAAATTAATAATGAATCAATATTTTTGTAATATAAAATATTGAGAATAAATAAATACTACATAAGCTAAATGTTAAGATTTTGTAAAATCTTTTTTTTTATAGAGCAGGGGTGTTATACTAGTGGCCCGGTGCTGGATGCCTCACGCACAGGCTCCGGAAAGGCAAAAAATGTCACAATATGTTACAATATATTACATGACAAGATCGAGTTTGACACCCGTGTTATAGAGACTAAAACCAACACAAGTCTTTACAGTATGTGTACTGTCATATGCAGAGTTTAGCATATTAGTAGGAAATGTTCCAATTTAAACATTAATGTTTTTGTCCTTTATCCAAGTGGATCCAGAATCTGGGAGACCTTGCGTGGATTTTCTAGATAACTTTAGCAAATGGAACACTAGATTCACAATGACTAGTATTCTACTTACTATCCAGGTAAGAAAAAATGATACAAACATTTTTTCTTAATTTTCTTTTATTTATGTGAGAGTTAGTCTTATTTTACTTTTGTAATACTGGAAACCTCACTGCAGCATAAACTCACACAAGGCATTTGCACTAATCCAGTAAAATTGTTAGTTTTTTTTCCTTAAATAATTTTCAGTAGTCCTTTTCATAAGCTGCTTTCGAGGTTCCCCTCAGTTCTAGTTACAGTTTGTCAGATCTATAGGACTGAGGAGGAAAACAACATTTTTCCTTCATGGGCCCACATAGAGTTTTGCAATGCTTTAAATTCTAATTAAGGGGGAAAAGAATCATGATGTAACTTTAGAGAGAGCTTAAAATATATCTGTACTTATAACTGCAGTGAAGAATATTAGAAGTGCCTCCTTTGCCCTTTTTTTCTTTCTTACTTTTTTAGTTTGTCTTTGTTTTCTTTTTTTTTCTTTCCCTCCTCTATTCTTTTTTTATTACCTTTCAATTTGTGCTATTTTTATATACTTGTTTAAAAAATGAATAAAAATCATTTTTAAAAGGGCACGGATATGTTCATAAAGCTGTCAAGAGTTAAGCTCATCTCAGAGAACATCTATCTTTACCATACATGTCCATGGAAAGATATTTAATTTAATTAAATGTTGCACACTATTGTGTCTTTTATTTTCACCACAGCAATTCCTCCTAGAGTCTTCCTCAAAGAAAATATCGCTTTCCTCAGTTGATGAGAGAGCTATAGAAACATTTTGGGAATGTTTGTTAAGGCATGAGGTTCCCACATCCATAGCTTTGGATAGCAAAATGGGTGGCATATAAATTTAATAAATAAATACAATTATAGCAGAATATCTCTAATGCCATGTTTTCCTATCTTGAAGATCATATTTGTTGTTAGCATGAAGGAGGTCCATCCAACAAGGGGCACAGCTATTTCAGCTTTGTTTTTCTTTGTTTTTCTTGAGTAATAAATATAAAGCACTATAGGGGACTGTCTTCTAGTGTTAAAAACTTTATTTAAATTGTTGCATAATTTTAACTCCTACCCTTCTATGATCTGCTTTGGTATATGTTGAGAAAATGGGAGTGTCCAACGTCCCTTGGTGAAATAATGAAGGACTACCATTGCATTAAAAAATAATTTTCTTTGAGCTGCTATCACTGTTTGAATCATAACTAGAAGAGATGGTTTCTTTCCCTCCTGGGTACTCAAGAAATTATTACAAATATTTCCATCCTTCCTTCAGAAATGAATGTGTGGAGCTTTTAAATATTGTTTTTTACATTAACCTCCTTCCAAATTAGTAAAAGAAATTTTTACTAGTAGTCCAGTATTCCATTCTGAACTGAATGCATCCAAAAAAGAAGAAATGCTGGTTTCTCCGTGTTCCCCATATATTCACAATTTGTGTCTGCCACTCAGTCAGTTAGAGTAGAAAGAAAAGTATCAACCTTCTGTAAGTTTTCTATTCTATGAAAACACAGAGCATGATTCATGCCTTCTAACTGCCATGGCTAATCCAACAAAGCCAATTATTGTAAATAGTGTTTAATTTCAGGTACTCTTTGACTTTAAAAAAATTCATTTAGTGACCATTCGAAATTACAACACCACTGAAAACGACTGCATGACGAACAGTTTTCACACAACTGACAACTGTTGCAGCATCCCCATGGTCACATGATCAAAATCTGGATGTTTGGCAACAGGCATGTATTTGTGACAGTTGCCCTGTTCCCAAGTGATGCGATCACCCTCTGTAATCTCTCAGCTGGCTTCCAACAAACCAAGTCAATGAGGAAGCAAGATTCACTTAACACCTGTGGCAAAAAAGGCCATTAAGTGGGGCAAAACTCACTAAAGAACTGCCTTGCTTAGCGATGGAAATTTTGATCCCTATTGTGGTCGCAAGTTTTTCTGATTGATGCATGCATGTATTTTCATGCAGGTTTTGTTGTCCAATCCTGTTCTGGACAATGCCGTGAACCTGGAGGCAGCTCAAATGCTGAAAAACAATTATCCCCTCTACAGAGAAAAAGTTGTACAGTGTGTTATAAATAGCAAGCAACTCGAAGGTAATAAATGCTTGTGCTTTCTGTTGTTAATCATAGATAAATTCTTTCTGCACTGTGGGGAGTTTTAAAAGAAACTATTTGAATAGTATTCTCGGAAAAAAAAACACTATTTTATACACTGTCATAAATTTTAATTAGTATCATTGGCAATGTAATTTGAGCATGGGCTTTCTAAGCAAATCTCTCATCTCACAAAACATATTTGCCAGGGTACGGAGGTTATGCGGAGGTCGCAAGGCTTTGGTATCCTTAAAGAAAGGATACCAAAGGAGGGACAAAATGAAATGTGAGTAACAAAAAGTAAAATATTGTTAAAAATGACTTTAGATAATTAAATTTAATTGTTGAATTGTCACTCAACGAGTTGGCCATGGAGAATTGGCTATGGCGAGTTGGCCCATTACATTGCAGGCTAAATCAACTGGCATTCTTTTAGCTATGCTAAATCAAGCCATTATAATGGCTGAAACTCAGGAGTAGAACAAAGGAGTGAAATAAAAGTTTCTTCCAAAGAGGTATTGGATCTCACACCAGAGGTTCACCATTTACCATCCGGTCAAAGTAAAGGTAGGCAGTCAGAAAAGAGAGAGAGATAAATGTGTACGTATGTACACATGCATGTAGGTAGTCCAAGATTTACACTTAGCGATGGTTCAACGTTATGGCTACTTATGAGCAAATTCCAAAGTTCCAATGGCTCCCCCCTCCCACACTTCTGTAACTGCATGTTGAACACTCAGCAACTAGCCTGCATTTATGGCTGTTTGCAGCATCCTGCAGTCCTGTAACTGTTGTTTATGATACTGTGTTCTGACCCTCCTCCTCCGTCCAGTAACGAATGCCGAGACAAGCTTAGCTGGAATGTCATAATACTTTATTAGCAGGACTATAAATCTTGGTAGCTGAAAGCCCAAACACAAACGAACAGATAAAGAACCTTGGTAGCAACTCAGACTCTGACAGATACAGATAACAGCTTCTCCAGCGTTGATAATGAAGTTGAATCCTGCAAACAGCCTCCTCCCAAAGTCTCTCCTTATATACTATCTTGAGAGGAGCCTAATTACAACCACCTGGGTCCAATTATCTTCTGTATCTACGTAGTTGTTCTCTGCGTTGATCTGCCCGCCGTTGCTGGGCATCCAGGACCAACTCCCTTGTCTCCTCCCCACTGCTCCAAGGCCTGACGTCAGGAGCACACCCCCTTTGGCTTTCACCGCTGCTCCATGCCTCAGGCACCTCCTGGTGGCCAACCAGCCTCTCTGGTCCCTGCTCAGAGTCGGAACCCTGTCCAGGGTCCTCCACATCTTCCAGAGCCAACTCATAGGGCCCCTCGCTGTCGGAGTCTGTTTGCAGCTCCAACGGCTCCTGCTGGGCCACAACAATACTGTATCTTTGATGAAGAGCAGCATTTACTTCCAGTTTTTGGCAAAAACAGCCCACAGTGAACAATGGTTTCATTTTATGATAGTGGTGTTTGCTTTACAACTGCCATGTTCACTTTACAACTATCATGTTCATTTAATGATTGCCATGTAATAGGGTCGGTTATGTGGGTGACCCACTTTAAAGCTCTCATGAGTTACAACAATAACGGAGAAGCTCCATTATGTTCATAAGTCAAAAACTATCTGTCCTATATATGTTTTTGGGTAAACCCCCAGCTGAGCTAGAAATAAAAGGTCGGCTGCCAAAATTGTGGAATTAAATCCAGAGTTTTATGAGAATTGGAACTGCTAATAATCCTGCCAGTAAAATCAAATAAAGTATTATTTCCACATAATGAATCTGTGTAATTTAGATTATTGTAACTGTACCTCCTTATAGTTATTAGTCCTATCACTGTTGTGACAACTGTAGCAATTCAGTGTTCACCTCATATTTGAAAGTATTTTTTTATTACTGGTAATAAAGCCACTGGAATCTTCTAGTTGCAATTATACATGGCTCGATTAAATCTTTGTTATTTTAATTGCATAAAAGTATTGGATTGTAAAATATTCACAACAAACAGGCATTTTTAAAACTTCTTCTCTTGTCCAGCCATTGCCAAAGATTGGGATACGTCAGTCAAGTTTTACCCAGGACCAAAAGAACCAGCCCCGCATAGGTAATGACATAATGTACATTTAACCTCATAAATGTTGTAATGCTATAAATTATTATTTGAATTATTGAATAATTTATATTAAGTTTGAAAAGCAGTATTTCATCTGGGAGTAAAAATTTCTAGCAGTTAATTCAAAGTCACAAATATTATCAGAACAACTTTTAAAAAAACATGCTCAATAAAAGATCTTCTAGTGCTTCAGAAAGATATCAGAAGCAATTCTGCTTGGAGAAACATTGTGTGGCATCACTGAAAAATTTGTCTCTCCTTCATCTTGCCTGTTTAGCATCATATGGAAAATAGACATGAAGCATTACATTTTATGAGGCTTACAAAGTCTGGGCATGAACATTTTGGACTTCAAACTGTTTAGGCGTGGAAATTGCCCAGCATCCAGTTTTGAGAATTGGCAAGATGTGATTTATATTACTGATCTCAAACAGTAACTTAGCAGTTGGCCTTCCTGATAATCAAAGAAGCCTTCCAAAATACATTTTAACTTGAATAAGTCACATATTTACATACACATAAATACATCTAACTATGGTGAACCATTTCCCTTCTTTAAAGTTTTTTATTTTTTTTAAAGAAAGTCAAACACTAAAATATAGGTTACAAGTTTAATCTTAAGGAGAACTATAAACACTTTAAATATACATGTTCAATATTATTATCTACAATTTCATTTTAAAAAGTAATAGGTAGTATAATAGGAAACACATTTTTAATATAGGTAAGAAACTGTTGTCATATTCAATTTACTTTCCCCAATATTATATGCTCTTTCAAAGCTATATGTGATGTTAGTTTTTGAAATAGAACAATTAAATATCAGTGATCCAATGAAGTATGTATTCTAATTTTCCAGAGTTATATAATAACAAACCTGGCATCTTACAAGAATGGTATCATTTCTATATATATAGCATTGATGTACAGTGTATGCCATAGGAAATGTTGGCAATAATTATCACTATATTATCAAGTACTGTATAGCAGCAGGATTTTTATAAAATACTGTTGCATACATTTTCCAAAACTCTTCAAATACAATTAACCAAAAGAACTGACTTATTAGGCATTCCTGACATTGTATTATATACCAATAGCTTATAAGCTCCAACACAATATGAAAATATTATAATTGACGTGGTTCTGTTTTCATAGAATATAGAACCACCTATTAATTTGTCTTCACAGTCCATCTCTGAACCATTCTCCTGCTTATAAACAAGCTGTAATTGATAACATATTCATCCATTTAGACTTCTGCCACCAGAGTGTTGATTTCCAGATATATTGAACTTTGATTCGCATAGACTCATAACCTGTACAACCTCTAGCTTTAACAAGTGGGGATTAAGGAAGTTGTAATCTAGTATATATGGAGACACAGTCATTGAAGGACATTTCTGTAGATTTTTTTCTCACAGAAATATTACTAGAAAAAATAAAATGCAGATGCAGGTCTTGAAGAACTAGACACATCTTGTCTTTGTTGTAGAATCTGCCCTATACTGATCATGTAATTTATTTATTACATTTATATGTTGCCCATCTCACCAGCAGGGTTAGGTATACGTAATCCTCGTTTAACAATGGTAATTGGGATCAGCAACACCCTAACTAAGTGACCCAGTCATAAAGTGCATTGCCCTGTGACTGATGATCTACAACAGCATTTGTGGCAGTTCCAGTTGTCATCACTAGATTGCAGTGTCCTGCAGTTATGACTGCAGTCACGTTTACAACTTCCTGCTGGCTTCCCCAATGACTTCACTTGTCAGAAACTGGCAGTGGAGTTTGCAAATGGTAATCATGTAACCATGGGGTCACTGCAATGGCAACATCTATGACAACCAGTTGTGAGTCCTTCATTCAGTGCCATTGTAACTTTAAATGCTCAGCAAGTGACTGATTGATCAAGAGGACTACCTATATATGTTAGAGTGATATATAGGCTGGGAGACCAAACATCTTTAATTCTGGTGGCATTGTGAAAGTAAAAATATGTCAATCAGTGTTGCTGTCAGTGGCAAAAGAAGGGTTCATAGCAGAGAACAATTTCTCATAGTTTCAAAGATGGGCGAAGTTACAAAGCTCTTGATGAGCTGCTGCTGACATTGAACAGGACAGCAACAGCAAAAGATAGAGAAATTAATGCAAGGACTTCAAACAAAGCCAGAATAATGTGATGATTGTGCTCCAGAATCTTGTCATTTCATACAATAGCATGCTTGACATTTTCTTCTTCAGAGTCTCATTGATATGTGTTGAAATCAGTAATACACACAGAAATGGGGGGGAGCAATTACAAGCATAAACCCAGTTCTCTTTGATTTCTTTCTCAAATAGTTGGCTCATTTAGTTTGACATACCTGGTCCTGCAACTCCGCAGCATATCTCTTTTACAAAATACATCCAGCAGTAACTAAATAATGCCTGTAGATCTGAGCACCCCAAGGACCAGTAGAACACCTCTTTAATCTTAAGAGGGCAAAGATTCCCAAACCATGCTGATAGGGCTCCTACCCCAAAAGACTGGATGCTACCATAAAATCAAAAGGTGCTTCAACAAAGTTTTATGGGTTTTTTTACATCTCAAAAACCTGGCATTTTAACAGGCAAGCATAAACTTTTTATGTTCATTGTAGTCTATTGGATTTTCTTCCATTTATACTGAAATTGGAAGCAGTTTCACCCTTTAAACCTCTGTTTTTTTCTTCTTGGTGAAATGTTCTGCAGAAAAAAATCTCCGCCCCATAACTATTTCCACACACTAGTTACAGACCATCCTTTCTTCCAAATATATATTTTCAGGACAAGAGCGATATCATATGAAGAATATTTTATAACATGGTTTAAAATTGCCACATCAAGACCAGCTGAAGATTTTAAACACCCAGGTAAGCTGGTGTTTTGGTTTCTTTAAATTAAAAAGACCAAATCTGATTTTGCACAAAATGTAAATAAATTAAATGGATATTTCATATGGCAATCCCCTGCCCCCCCTCCCGTATGGAAGCTGCAACCCATAGGGACTTTCAGAAAGAAATTTTTTTTGGGGGGGGGGACCTTTAAAATTGTGTGACCCTTTGGTTGTTGCTAATAGAAGTATTGCTATATCTATTGGGACTTATTTTTTTTTCCTTATGGACAAATGCAGACTTGTGTTGTTTTAAAAAGAAGGCAGCATATTCCTAAGGTCTCACATTCAAATCCTCATGAATGTCACAAGGACTAGTTCAATAAACTGAGAAATGCAACACTGAAGCCTTTTCATATGTAGATATAAAAAGCTTTAGTGAGTCAAAAAGATAAGAAAATGAAAAAGATTCCTGATATGCCATTACACATACATTTATTACATTTAAAAAATCTGGTCATGAAACACAGCTATTTGCCAAGGAATGCTGTGAAACAGCATTTCGCCTGCTTACCATCTCAATGTATGGTCCTTGGTGCCCTCTGAGTTTGGTGGTTTTCTTACAGACATTTCATTACCCAGCTAGTTAACATCCTCAATGTTAGAAGGGAGTGGGAATTTGTTCTCTGTTTATATACAAGGGGCTTGCTCTGTGAGTGTTGGCAGTGTTGGCTGTTGTCCACCAATTCCCACTCCTTGGTTGGCAGAGTGGTCGTGATTGGGCAATCATGTCTGCTTCCTCCAGCCTCCTACTCCTTCCCTGGCTAGGTCTTATTTCCAGGTGAAGAGAACCTGATACAGTCAGAAGCAGTGCTCTGCGTTGGATCTTGAGAGCAGACAGGTGTTTTCAG